CCCGATAAGATGATAAACCTAATCTAACTAGGAATGCCGGTAAGAATGAAGATAATAAAAAGGACGACAAATTTCAAGTCCGAAAAATCGTAATCGAAAAGCGATTGCTTGCATTGATTTATGCAAGAAAAGCTATGAGAAGCCTGCCCGGTGTGCCCCATCCTCCCCGGCCAGATTTAAGATGGAGGAGCGAGACGTCAGCCTGTCACGCAACTCTGCGCTTCACCAACCCCCCCCCTCTACCCCTGAAGCCAATAACCCACTCCCATCCCGGAAGCGCCATTTCGCCCCAAAGGGCGAGGCGACAATTAAAAGGTATTTTGCCGAAGGGCTACCGTGGTGAAATCCTATGCCAAATTATGGTTACCCATCGATTGAGCAAAAGTTTCTGTATGCTGTAAGGTCGCTAAACAGGTTTTGAAATGCCTTTGAGCCGAAAACGATGGATTAGGTCGAGGATTGCGGAAGTTTCGGGCACATCATGATCAGCAAAGCAGACCTGTTTAGTAATATTCTTCGGAGATTTCTGTTTTTTTTTTGCATGATGATGTGGCTGCCAAGTTGTCAAGGGTTAAGTTCGTAAAAGCGGAAATAAGAAAACGTTTTATAAGCTAACTCGGCAAAAGCAAAATCGGCAAAAATCGATCGTCAATCAATCATTAAACAATCCTAGTTTTTAAATTTGCATATTGGGAACGCACCTCGTGAAGAAAAGGTAATGTCTAAAAGCTAAAAAGCCTCGAAAAAATGGCACCGTTTGAACCTTAGCATATGGGTCTCTCACGCTCTGAGCCCAACATATCAGCTGAAGAGGAAGTGATTATGTAGGCCACACTGAATTATGGAAACGTTGCATCGAAAGGGCCGCATTTACGCCGGCTGGCATCATCGTATGTCTGGGTCATAAATAATTTCGGAAATCCGTCGATGTGACAATAAGAGATTAGCTACAGCCAATCGTGGACAGTTGCCGAGTGAAGATATTGAACTTGGGAAAAGCATATGCAGCTAACAAAGAGTCTTCTGAGATATCTCCAGCCGACTTTTCTACTTTTCTACCTTATTTTTATTTTTCGTGGTTTTTCGACTTAAATGCAACGTATTCTTACTAATTAGACTACGGTCCACATTTTCGTAAAGATTAGAGCTCTCTACAACTGAGGGGAAACTAGATCCAGTCCACTGTGCTTCAAAAAAATTACCTTCAAACCTCATAAACCGAATACCACCTTCAAGAGGTTGCAGCTACCAAGAATCTTGGCGTAAAATCACTGATCTCCTCCCCTGCATCCGTTCTTCCGGCACCGAGCGCACCATCCGCCACCCATCCCTGAGGGGCAAAGATGGCCCTTGTGCGGGCCTTAAGTGACTAAATAATATTGGATTTGAGTGGGGCGACCAGGGCAGGGGAACCTAGATAGCGTTCGGAAATTCGTGTTCTGATGGTGCTTGGCTTTAAACGAGAAAAACGGGGTTTCGGAAGCATAGAAAAAATTAGCTAAAATACCGCGAGTCCTATGAAGTGCTTCGGACCTGGATTCGAAAGTGATCCCAGGATCTGATTCATCAGTGTATTGAGTGTCTCAAAATGTGCTCCTGGTTCCAACCCCATCAAAAACATCAACGCCAACAACGGCTGTTTCCCGCCCAAATTATGCAGAAACTGACAACTCTCCAGGAATCCAGGTAAACATCGATTGCTGCTAGCGGCATCCCTTTAAGAGATCCAAATAAAAGGATCATGGAGCCTGAAATCCCATGCCATTAAGTTTATCCAAATATTTTTTAAGGTTAAAGAACCGGAAAGGTTGAGCGCGATTTTCGCGATGCTCTCATATGCGGAGATTTTCGAGCCCGGGAAAGAGGAAGGAAAAGAAAAAGGGCAGAGGAGTTCCTCGAAGCGATCGACGGGCCAAAAGATTCGTGTTATATGCCGCCGGGGGGAAATGGGCACGGGCAGTGGGCAAACATTTGGTCCGTAATCAAGGTCGAGCTGGGGCCAAGCCACGAACCGGGTTGGGCCTCCTAAATAATTTGGGGCCACGGGGCAACAATGGCCAAAAAGAGTGCCCCGGGTTTAGAGGTGAGAGAGGAAACTACGAACTTGCATACTCGGATATGCCGCGCCGAGTGACGAGTGCTGACTTGTTGCCTTTTTTGTGGAGCGCCGGGAGGGAACGCTGTTTCTAGCAGGGTGAAAGGTCATCTGTATCTTGTTCGAGCATTGGTTATTTTTGTCACGGCTTGGATAATGATAAACCCCAAAAGCTACAATCCATCGAAACCGGAAAGTTGTAGAAGGCCCAAAAACCGTGGAAATACCTCTGTGGTCTCGTCGGGTTTGCTTGTCGATCTCATTTCGCGAAATTCCACTGCTTCTTTGCCGCTTACAAGTGTCGTGTGGCTTAGTGGGATCGAAATCGAATGGAATCGAAAAAATAATTAAAAAATGATAGAATCCTTGAATAAAAGACGGCATGGAATTTGCCAAAAATTCCTGATGGGACTAGAAATATCAGGTGATGTACATAACCAGGCGAGGGGAATCTGTCAAAATCTCGACACTTCCGTAGTTTGAATCAACATTAAAAACTTTAGGAATTGCACGATTACGCCATGTAATTTTCGAGATTCTGAAAATTCGAGATTCTAAGTTTCGAGATTCTGATAGGTAATCAGGCAAGATGTTAAATTGCGCCTTGGCGTTTGTTTTGAGTGAGACTGCAAGTAGCACAGGACGCGCAGAGGCATTTTGATTAAATGTTACATTGGATATCCGAGATGCTTTGATGGCAGTTGCTAACAACAAGACCGACGTGCTGCTCCCCATCGGTTAACAGCCGCCCCCACCACATCCCCGGCCCCTCATGACGGCCCGGAAATTTGAGCCTCGAACTGCCTTTCCGGTCTTTCCCGCCGACTGAGAGGCCCTGTTTTAGCTGCCTCGCAATCGGCCCCTTGGATGGGAAATTCCCATTTTGCTGATGATCGCCATGGTGCACTTGTTGGGTACATTCCAATTGAGATCAACAAAAATAGGACTTTCTAAAGAATTTACGAAGTAACGTTATTGACGAGGTGGGAAGTTGCTACGAAACAAACACCAAAAAGTCTTAATAATAAAAATAAAAGAAAAAATAAATAAAATAAATAAAAATAAAAATAAAAAACAAAAATAAAGATAAGTCTTAAAAATTAGTTTTTTTCCTGCGGAGCCATAGCCAACAGAATATCCGATTTGAAGTGCATTTCTAACCAAATTCGCAATAGTTTGACCCAAATTGCACCAGCTGAAGCTGATTTTTTCATTACAAGGAGTGACACTGTCTTCAGAAAAAATTTTATTCTCTATGGACCTAACCACTTGACAAAAAATGTTTGAAAGGTGAAACATTCACGCGAAGAGACGAGCCCAAAGCCGGGGCCTGCTCGAATCCGGACTACAGACCATAAAAGTGAGCCGAAAAAATCATTGGCTTTTTATAGTTATACTAGAATCAAGTGCCCTTATATCGGGCAGACCACCAACACATTCAGAACACATAGTGAAGCTGACTCAAGTACCACCCCTCTGCCCTCCATCAAATCTTCGACGACCCCCGTAATTTTTGCACCTCTCGCCCTCATTCGGGGGCCCCGATGCCCTCCTCGTGGCCTACTCATAAAACAATAAAATGGGGCCCAACGCGTATAATTGGGTGAAGGGGGCGGGAGGCGCGTGATGATAAATTCGGAGCTGTCAAGCCGGTCCTGGCTGGGCGGCTCAGCTAACTTTTTGGGTGGTTCTTGGAAGCGAGAAGCTGGGTATGCGAAACCACATTTTTTTGCTGGAGAAAGCGAGAGCTAGAGAGAGAGAGAGGGAGAGAGAGAGAGAGAGAGAGAGGGAGAGAGCGAAAGAGAGCCCACAGATAGCGAGTGGGAGCGATTTTTCTTGTAAAACCACGAAAAATCACACCCGAATAGGGAGGCTGACAGCGACGATAATACGAAGTATTTTTTTAGTCTTTTAACGGCGATCCAATTTCCAAAATTTCACTGTTTGGGTAATCATCGACTTTTGGGAAGTGAATCAATTTAGGACGAGGAAATGGATGTACCAGATAGCCCTGTAAATTCAAAAGCGTTTGCGCACATCTCAAACATCAACAAAATAGAAGTAAACGCACGGTCGAAAATCCATAGAGTTCAACAACCCCTAGCAATGATCGGCGGTCGGTAATTCATGGCCGGGCGCGCCGAACAAATTGGAACTATTTTTTTAGCGGGAGAAAAATCTAATTAGCCCGACGCGCCCCCTAAGGATAATAAATCAGTGGAAGGGTGGATATGGTGAGAAGAAGAGCAAAAATTAGTGGAAAGACAGACAGACGACGGAAAAGAAGTCTTCATGGCCTCAGGGGACGGAGGCGCCGGGGCTGAAAAAGGGGAGTCTTGTGGTGCCATGATGAGACGTTAATTATTCGACGGAAGTCGCGCTGCCACCGACCTGGCTGCTCCCTTTGTGCCGCGCTTTAATGAACCCAAAATAATTACTTCAAAATTGGTGCCTCGAGGCGATGTGGCCGATGGGCTGTGGTATGAGGTGGCAGTGGCTTTTGGGGTTGGGAGTGGAGAGCAGCGGCCATTGGCGAGGAGGTTTGCATAGAAAAGTGATGTGGGTAATTCGTCCAAAAACCGTGTCATAAAAAATCTTAAAAGGATTTTCTGTGAGCGTGTGAAGGGACCAACTACTTCTCTGGTTTCCTCTAGCTTTTCCGGCAGTTTTGATTAAGTTATCCTTACTATTATTTTTTTATGTACAAGTCGAGTTTTATTCGATAAATACCGTACCCGTCAACGGAAAACAAACACAATGAAACTTCTGAGATCACGAGGGCGTGTCGAAAACAATCAAAAGTTTCTCAATATATATTTGAAAAGACAGAAAATCGGACAAATTCCACATGTTTAGAGGTCTAAAACGCCCAAAGTGAACAATGAGCTGATCAAGGAAATATTTAGATCAGAAAATTAATGAAAGAAACTGCAAGAAGTAACAGAGATGTGATTTTGAAAGAATTTGCCGACAGTTTCGTTGCTTCGGGTCGCAGGGAAATGGTCTTGGCAGTTGGTCTGGCGGACACTTCTGAAAAATTGATCTAATACAATATTTGTTGCGGCTTACTATTCTTTTCCTTTTCCCTTTCTTCTTGTTTTTGTTGCGCTCCGGCGACTCGTGGCCTTGGGTCCTCACCGCCAGCGATTAGGTGATGAAAATTGCATAGGTGGTCCTCGCAGATGCAATGTCTCGATAGAGGTTCACTAGCATTATGCGAATATTCCGTGGTGCAACCCACAACGACTTTCTAAAATGGATATTCAGTATCAACGGCTGAAATTATCATGAAAATATTCCACAAATGATCGAAAGCCGGAAAGGAGCGCAATTTCTAGTCTTACCTTTGGATCATCAACTTTCAAGCAACCCGCGATCAGCTCAAATTTCGGCCTCGCAATCCCAATAAACTCCTCGTGATCATCGTAAGAGTGCTCAAAGTCAGCACTCTCTAGCACAATCTCCGATGTGGTCATTGAAATGAAACAGTACTGTCCCTCACATGTCGACGATCTCGAGAGAATTATGTGGGATCAATGACAAAGATAATTACTTTTTGAAGATTTCTGCTCCGAAGGGCTTGGCAGATTTGTGGCTGACGCTGTAGCAATAGTTGAGCTTAGCCTTCGGCCGGTCGATGACTTGTGTCGTCTTAAAAAAAAGATTTTTCAGGAAGGCCTGTGCTCTGACCTAGGCGAGAAAATGCTTAAACTCACCTGGTAATGTCGGGTCTTGTTGAGTTCGTTGCAGGACCCGGTGAGTCCGGTGCATGTGCAACCGTTCATCACGGTCGTGGGGCCGGCCTCGTATCTGAATGAGTTGGTTTTCAGGCAAAAAGGCTGTTCATACTGATCACACAGCGTTTTTATAGTAAATTGATCAATACCTGGCACAAATTGGCTCGCCCTGCCAGTCCAGATAGGCAGGTATTCGGAGAAAACTTTGGAGACGGGGGAAACCAAGGCCGCATCCCTGAAAGACGTATATTAAAGAAAACCAACGAGCTATCAGTTTTAGAAAACCGGTGCTGGGTTAAAACTTGGTGAGTTTTTCTTAATGCGCCCTTGGCAGGCCTCTCCGGGGTATCCTCCAGCCAGGTAAATACTTGCTGTGCCGATTTACAGTATGCCGATTATTGGTATGCCGAATTTTCGCTATGGCGAATTTCGCTATGCCGAATTTTTGCTACTCTACTAGTAATATTCTCTACTAATATTAATAACTAAGAACGGCTGGGACTTTGCGATGCAACAGAAAATCTGCTGCGACTACGGGCCTAAGATCTGCCCGAGTTTTTGGAAATTTCTAGGCTAACTCTAACTTGCTAGGCCCATGATATTTGGAAAAATAGTAAAAAAATGGGGAACATACCGCTTATCAAAATTGGTATGGCGAAGCTTCGGCATGGTAAAAATTCGGTATCGTGAAAATCGGCATGGTGAAAATTCGGTATACCAAAAATTCGGCATATCGAAATTCGGTATAGCGAAAATTCGGTATAGTGAAAATTCGGTATAGCGAAAATTCGGTATAGTGAAAATTCGGTATAGCGAAAATTCGGCATAGCGGAAATCGGCACAGCGTCACTCGGCATAGCAAAATTCGGCATAGCGAATGGAACTCCCTCCAGCCACTACGGAGAGGTCTTCGCGCCTATGTCCTCCTATTGGATTTCTCCGCCTTGAAAAACCCGCCCATACTCTCCTGCCCGTTTTTGAAAAAAAAATCAAGAAAGCAAAGAACCTAAGAATCAATTCATAAACACCAACCTGTTCAACCCCGTCAAAATCGACTACACAATAGTTGCCGCGGCACTTGTGTAGACATCCTGTTTTTGGGCACACATCCCCGTGCCGTTCACTGCACCCACAGCATTCGACTGTCGGCAACTTGGACGGCACAAAGTCCGAGAACTGAAAAGCCAAAATAGTTACCCCACGTTCGTTAAGCTTCCACGCAAAATCGACAACTCAATGGGCGTTGCTGGTAAAATGATGAAAAGTGTACCCCCCTCAGCCGGTTTATAATTAAACTTGGAAAAGTGGCTTGAAGACACGATTAAGTAAACGCACAGTATTCCGGTTGTTGCACAAATTGCCCTCGCAGAAACAGTGAACCGTCTCCGAGTTACTCGCGTACTGGCAGCCGACCTGGCCGCCCGGAAGTTCTGTGATGCAGCCTTTCTAAAATACTATGAAATTAGCAGCGTTCACGTTCTGCAACCCACCTGCAAAATGGCCGTCTTCTCTTCGGGGAAAAGCTCGAGCTTGGCAAAACATGCATTCGATTGGCACTTCTCACTTGGTTTTCCCGCGCAATCACATGTTTTTGCGTCGACCTGTCGGAAAGCATATTTATCAGTGATTTTCCTACCTTTCCATCAGGTAAGATTTTACACTGTGTAATGCAAGAATGGCAGTGGTTTTCTGATGCTGTGACAGTCCATATACATAACAGCGCCAAGCAAATGTGACGTCGCATGGCTAAATAAATAGGATGTCTACACGGTAGGTCATTTTTGGGCAACCAATATTTAAAAGGCGAAAATTCGTAGAGCGTTACCAAAGATAATACGGGACGACAAAAGGTTCTAGCACATTTCCTAAAAAACTAAAGTTTTTTGGGCGTGTGCTGGGTGAAAAAGTGGATCTGCCTGGCGGGGCGGCTGGAAAAAGCCGAAGGATTAGGAGAAGAATGGGAATTGTTGACGCGTGAAAAAAAAGTCATTTCAGCATACTAATTGGGTGGGGAGTCCCCAAGGTTTCGGTGGCCCGGGGGTAAGGCTTCGCCCCAAAAATCGAGGCTGGCTGACAAAAAAAAAATTAACATCGTTGTTTCAAACGAATTAACAAGCTTTTGAACTGAAAAGCCAATATGTAAGTGCCGTTAAAAGTCCGAAACCAACCAATCAGGGGCGAAATAGACAACTACGGCCGAATAACTGCCCATGCGTGAAATGGCAAATTATTTGCGACGGACAGCCGATGCGAGAGAAAGATGACATTCGAGATAGTAAGATGGATCGTGCTCTACTAAGACGCAAAAGGAGGAGCAAGGCTGGGGAGACAGCAAGGGAGGGAGGTTCGCCAGAAGCGAGAAACTCTTTTTGTCGCGCCGAGAAGGGGATCAATGCGAAATTCCAGTTTGTCGGCCCTCACTCCCTTGTCGCTGCTGAGTCATCCACCCTAGGGGCATGGCAATGGCATCATCGAGGTTTGCTTTAAGTTATCGGCCACCCATGAAAAATTAGTTGTTCTACTACGGCAATTATTTGGAGGAAAATAAAATATTTAAATCGCCCAGTCAGCGGACCGGCTTCGGGGATAGAAAACGATTTTCGGAAATGTCACAAGGCCTCTTTTTGTCGAAAGTAAACTTTATCGTCCGCTTTTCCATATAGAACAAAATTATTACGTGAATTACGAGAAATTTCAAGATGAAGTTAATTTTACAGCAAAAAACCGACTTTAAACTTGCAATATTGTTGCAACCGCTGCAACATTGAAGCATATGCCCTAGGCTTAGGCTCATATCGGAAAGAATAGGGGCCCCTCGGCGTCCGACATCCTTGCGGGCCCCCCTGGGGACCGAACCAACGACCCCATCTCGCATGCAGATTGAAAAAGGGCCGGAATAATACAAGAGATTCAACGTGCCCGTGCGGAAATCACTTTTTTGGTTGCTAAATTAAACCTGGTGCCGGAAATGCCACAAAGCGGCTGTTTAAAAATGACTTTTTCTCATTTTATTTTTTGAAGGTTATGTGGATGGGCGAGTTAAAATACAATTAAAGCTGGTAGGAGCGAAGGTCTCAAGCTTATCAGAAAACACTTAAACCGGCAACCAAAAATATGATCGTTATAATGGTGCCAAAACTATGATAATAAAATTCGATGGTAAGAATCAAAACCCTTCCCCAACACGACGCTAATTGCAGCTCCAAACCCAGCGGAAATACTTAATCAAACCCCCAAAATAGGCAGGTTGCCGATTTTGATTCTGTCTTTTGGAAAGGACCGTGTACGGGGGCCCTAAACGGGCCCTAGTGGCCACAGGCCCGCATGCTAATTGCGGGCTCTTGCCGGGTGAGCTCGTGAAAAAGGAGAAGCCAATAAATTCGGACCGCTGGCGGTCATGGAGGCCAGGGGTAGCTGCTTGGATCCCTGGGTGCGGGTCGGTTGCGGGTAAAGTTAGAGACCTGAAATTGCTTAAGTTAAATCCTTCCGCTGATTAGGTAGGGGGACAGACCAGATGACGCTGAGCGCCCGTGAGACAGGGCACGAACTAGCCCTGTTAAAGGTTTAAAAAAGTTGAAGGCCAAGCTACAAGAAGATTGAGAATTTCCCAAGGTACCTCATTGTGTGGCAGTAGAGTGACCCCCCAGTAGAGTGACCCCCCACGACCTCAAAGGCCACAAAGATTGGGGGCCAAGATAGGCTCACCCATTGTGGCCAAATTTCCGTCGCCCCCATACGCTGCGCGGAGTGATCGCGCTTAAGATAAATTTTGGTGAAAGACGAGTTGGACAATATGCTTTATGACAGGGATATTTGATGCTTTGCGAAACTTTAAGAGTGCTCGCTAGTTTTCAGACTAGAAAACCGAATAGAACCATGTTCATAAAAAGTTTAAATGCTAATACAATGCTTAGCGTTAAATATTGCTAAAACACAGGTCCGAAGGTATAAAGTGTATCGAGTATGCGAACATTTGTTGCCTCGATTTGGGGGTGGGGGGATGGTGGCTGATTCGGAGCGGAAATGCTGTTACGAGGATCCCCAGGATGGCTCCCCCTTGCGGGTCGAACAATTGCCCTTAGGTCCCAGAGACTGACTGGCGTCTTCGGACCCTCGGTCAGCGACACTTTTGGCATCCGGAAGGGCTGAAAGAGACGGGCGAGTAGTGGCCATTCACCGCACCCACTTGACAGCTATGGAGCAAAAGGGGCGCCTGCTACTATTGCATCTCCATGCTGGGAACTTATGCCACATTATGTTATAAAAACCCGGCTGAGACGTTGATGAAAAGCAGCCATTTGGATTTAGGTTTCCAGAATTCACTAAAGGTATTGCGCGAAAAATCTACAAATTATCCTGGAGCTTACGATTTTGTGTTTAGATGTTGGGCTCCTAACAACCCTCGACTCATCTCGGTGCACTAATGAGAGCCGGAGGTAAGCAGTAATGCGTGCCCTTCGGTTATTTTTCGGCTGAGGGCAGCATTCGTGTCACAAGGCAAATACCAGTCGGACATTAAAATTTCGAAAAAAATCAAAATCAGGGGCGTGGTGATGCTATGCATAGGCCTGAGCCTAAGTAAGTCCTAAGCCCATGCTTAAGCCCATGCTAACCCCATGCCTATGCCTATGCTTATGCCTTTAAAATTTGGAAATAAGCTGTTTCGATGTTTCCGCACGATCTCAATAGAAGCTTGAACGCTCGCGAAGGCCCACCCCACAGCTCTCTTTGCCCGAGTGGAGGAGAAAATGCTAGCTCAAGATTTATGGCCGGGCCGGCATACATCGCCAAACGGAATACCCATGAATTGGGTAGTGGCCCGAAAGCCATGCCATTTTTGCGAGGGATGATGAAGCGGGCCTCGTTTCATGAATTTCCCTTTATTAGGTTCAAAATGGAAGGCCGGGACTACCAATTGAAAGGTGATGACAATACATACCGGTTCAAAACGGTGCCTTCCGGATATATCGAAAAATCCGGTCGGAAAGGTGGTACGGTCCGTTGAAGACAAGGATTAGAGTGCGGTGACTACCAAATGCACACGTTGGAAGTGAAAATCTAGACTGATTTTCAAAAAATGTCGTAATTCATAGTGTCGAGGTGTCAGAAATTCAAAATTTAAAAAGTCGAACTTTTCATATGACCAGAATTTCGCCTAGAATAGAACCAACAACCCCAAACTTCAGGCTATCGTTATTACCAAGGACATATGAAAAAAATAATCCCGACAATACTATTCCAAAGATTTTGCGTACGCGATTGCACCTGTGCCTTTTCGGCGTCATTAGAGCAGATAAATAAATGGCTTTTCCAAGGAAAGTGAATCCCACGATCGCCATCCCCACGATTGGAAAGGTAGAACGGTCCTCAGAGTCGGAATACGACCTTGAAGTCCTCTGGTCAAGCCATGTCCGACCGCATAAAGGGTCCCCCTATATTTGAAGAGTATGCCCGCGGCTAGACATGGATGTTTTTGGCGGGTCCGCGCCTGGACTGGCGAGAGGGGGATCGGATGCGTGGTGGTGGTGGTGGTTATTCGAGCCGACGAGGGCTCTTCGTGTGGGATACACCTGAACACAATGGGCCATCTCTCGTTTGGGCACCCGGACACGGGCCATCGGCTTCTTCATACAATGAATGAGAGTGGGGCACCTGGTGATGACGTCGAATGTCGGATCCTGCGGTTCCTAGCCAGAAATTGTACTGCTGCGCCATGACTTGAACCTAACTAGGCCCGGGCTTAGGTTGAGGCTTAAGCGTAGTTAGCAGGACCGTAACAAACCCGAAATTTCGGAGGGGGGGGGGGGGCGGGGGCGGCACCAAGAATGTTTCACTAATATGACTAGAATTGCAGCGCCCAGGCAAAATTTTTGAAAACATCGGTTTATAACACTAAAACTAGTGTTGAAAATAGCCAAAAACAGCGCCGCAGGGAAAAATTTTTTTTGGAAAAATAAAATCATAAGGGTCCCCCCCTCTTACAGGCCTGGTAGTTAGGCTTAGGATTAGGCTGAGTTTAGGTTTAGGCTCAGGCTAGGCTTACGCTTAGCAACAGGCTTATTTTCTGATATTTTCCTATCTCCGGCCAGCAAAGACAATTTTTAGGGTTCTACCATACTATGCCATTTACTTCATCAGCTTCTGCTCGTTGCAATTACAGACGACAACTGCCGATAACCGAATCGAGACGGCAACACGGGAGAGATTCCAATTTAGGGTTTGGGCCCCAAACCGGGGGACAAGCCGGGGGCGAAAGCTCCGGGCGCATAGCCGCGGTAATTTGGGCCATCCAGGCATCAGCCCCCAACGGTCGTTTTAGAAGCCATATACGGGCGCGTGTGGGGCCATCCGATGCTTTCCGCCTTGGCCCCTTCCCCCGCTGGCAACTTTCCATTAATTCGACCAGATGTAGCCCCTGGGGGGCCCATTGCTATAGGCCCACAATCCGTCGTTACGCACGCTGGAGCGTATTTTTAACCGCGGTACTGGGTTTGGGCTTTACGGTAGGGCGGATGCGGGATGTCGGTGTTCTCTTATCCTGCTTTTCGAGAATTACCATCCAGATCATCGTGTCTGGATGTTTCAGAATCAGAATTACGTGTGCGTCTGTGTATACCGAATAAAACCCTCGTGACAGCCATAACTCGAAGGCGGAATGTTTTATGGGCTAGAAGTTAGGCAGTTAGCGTATTCGTAAGCTTAGATTACTTCACGCTTCAGTTTTTTTACCAAACTGATGTTTTATACGTTATTTTAACCTTTTAAACACATACCGAACTAAGTTAATTGGCACACGAGTATTTAGAATCCTCAAATACAACCAGTTAGCTATCCGATGGAAGCTCATTTTTAGATGCCTTTCACTTACACCTTTCGAAAGGTCTCGAAAAACCAGAGGAAAGCCTTTCCAGTTTTCAAACTTTTTGTAGCTTGTGCATCGTTTCAATGGAGAAGTATCTAAACCGTAGAAATCATACATTTCTCTAAGAAACTAGTAGGTGCTTTTTGCGAAAACATGTCGAAGAAGATCAGGCAAACGATGAGTTTTTTCCCTTGTGCTTCACTGCCAATACATGGGTCTCGAAGTCTCAAAGAACATCAAAAATTTCTCAGGGCGACCTCGCCGAGGCAAGCTTGCGAGCAGGAGGCAAAAACGGGCAGATTAATGAAAAGCCACAGCCTTCGCGCATAGTAGGCGGGCATCTGGAAAAA